AGGTATCAGCTGATGGTGACCACAACTGGTTTCTATAAATAAGTCTTTGGAACACAAGAGTGCTGCTTGCATGTACGTTTTCTGTGTGTGATTTCATGCTTCTTTGCAGAGAATGGGTGGTGTTATAAGAGACTGTCTGGCCAGCTATTCACCCTCTGGCACTGTATAGAAAATGGTTTCCAACCTCTATCTGAAAATATTAGGTATTTCTATCCATGAACATGGTATACCTCATAACTATTCGATCTCATTTAATTGTTTTCAAATTTTTATATAATTTTAGTGGCTAAGTACTGCACCCATTTTATTAAATTTATCCTAAATATTTCATGTTTTGATGTGAATATGTAGTTCTTTAAACTACATGTGTAGTTTAATATGTAGTTTAATTTCAAATTGCTGCTCCTAGTATATATATATAAGTAAACTTCGCTGATTTTTTTTGAACTCATGTTGCATCCCACAACTGTACTTAGTTGACTTGAACTTAGTTTGTTGCTATGGTAATCTTTCTGTAGAGTTTTTTATCACATCATCTGTGTGATCGTGTTAACTATGAATTAAGATAGTTATCTTCTTTTCCAGCCCATGTTCATTTTTTCATTTTTCTTGTTTTGTTCTTGCTGTAATCTTCAGAACAGTGTTAAATAAGAAGGGTGACACTGAACATCCTGCTGTTTTTCATAATCTTTGGTAGAAAATCATTCATTCTTTCATAGTGAAGTATGATATTAGCCATGGGTTTTTGTAGAAGCCTTTTTATCTTGATATTTCATTCTGTCCCTAGTTTTCTATGAGATTTTATCATGAATGATTGTTAAGTTCTGTAAACCACCTAATTTTTCTCTTTTGATAGCCATCATAATCATGCTGTATTTAGGTTTTTGTGTGTTGATGTGGTGAATTTCATTGACAATTTTTTTTTTTAATTTAAGTCAACCTTGCATTTATGGAGTAAATTCTACCAGATCATGATGTATTCTTCATCTCAAATATTGATAAACTTTAGTGACTTGGGGGTTAAGAATCTTTATATCTGTGTTCATATGGCCATTGGTCTGTGGATCTCTTTTTTTGCAAAGCTTTTTGTCTGATTTCAGTATTGGAACCGTACGGAACTCAAAAGAATTCTTTTAAAGCTTCCTTCTTGTACTTCCTGATAGATCTGTATAAAACTGACTATTTTTTCCTTGAATGTTGGGTAGAATTCACTCAGAGCTAATAATTGCTGTCTTTTTTCTTCTTAATCAGTTCAGCTAGAAATTATTATGTTGTTCTTTGCAAATAACCAGTTTTTTGCTGTCTTGCTTTTTTTCTATGGTTTTTCTTTCATTGACTTCAGTTTTCTTCCTTCTCCTTCTAGTGTGGATTTCAATTGTTCTTCCTATAACTTCTCACAATTCTTAGAATGCATAGACCAATTTATAGTTTCTTTCCATTTCTGACACAAGCATTTAATGCTGCAATCTTACACCCAAGCATTACTCTAAACCACATTGTACACATTCAGATGCTACTTTTTCATTTTTATTCAACTCAAAATTTTTAAAAAAATGTTTCCAGTGATTTCTTCTTTGACTTAGGAGTTATTTGGAAATGATTTGTTTAATTTTCAAATATTTGGAGTTTTTCCAGATATATTTCTGTTACTGATCTCAATTTTTAACTTCCAGTACAAATAAAATATATCTTGCATAATTTTCAGCTTTCAATGTTTATTGAGATGTGCAATGTAGCTCACAGTCTGATATGTATTATTCACTGTATTTGTCTCCTCAGACTGCTATAACAAAACACTATAGATGCAACCAACAAAGATTTACTTCTCACAGTTCTGGAGGCTGAACATCTGACATCAAAGGTCAGCATGAAGAGGTTCTTTTTGGAGCCTCCTTCCATGCTGTGGAATGTTCACTTTCTGCTCTTTCTTCACATGGTAGAAAAGGGGCAAGAGATCTCTTTGGGGTTCCTTTGACAAGGGCACTAATCCGATTCCTGAGGGCTCCACCCTCACAACCCAACCTCCTTCCAAAGGCCTCACTTCCAAATACCATTCCATTGGGCATCTCAACCTATGAATTTAGGGGGTACACATATATCCCATCTATTGCAGTGATGCTTCTATGGACACTTGAAACTAAAAAAAGTTCATATACATTCTCTGTATGTTATATTCTCTCTATACATATATTATATATTCTGCTATTGTTGAGTATAAAATTTCATTAGTGTCAATCAAGTCAAATTTATTTTTAGCATTAAAGCATTGAAGTCCTCTGAGTTTTATGTATTACTTCTGCCCTTTCTTTCTCCCCTCCCCTTCTGAGGTGGTGGTCACTCCATATTAGAATATACAGTACTATTTTAGGACTTCAGATCTACTTCACTCTTTTGCCCCTTTGTTTGCCCCTCTGTTTCATTCATTTCTGCTGACTTCATTCTTCCTCTACAGTGTTCAGTCTGTTAATAAACCCCTTTTAAATAAACTGTTCATGTCTAATATGTCTTGCTAGCTTTCCTGAAAACCCACAAGTTGAAGACAGGTGGAGAAGTTTATTTTGTGTCATGGTTAGAGGTCCTGGTCGGCTCACTCCAGGGCAAAAATGGCATGGTGGAAGGGCCTGGGCAGAGGACAGTTGCTCAGGGTCTGGTAGCCACAAAGCAGGGAGAGAGAGAGAGAGAGAGAGAGAGAGAGAGAGAGAGAGAGAG